CATAACTCCCACACCAAGCCGCTGAATGCGACACGTTTAAATCTGCTCACCAGGAGACGTCAGTAACCATTTACTGAAGCATGTGCAGAAAATGACTCAGACTGAAAGGAAAATCTCCTTCTAAGAAAAACAATAGTATCAGCGCTTTCAGCCGCCCCCCTGCTGGTTAAGCATTAATTTCTATGACTGATATCTCTCCACATCCCCAGCTTCAGTCTGAAACCGCAACGCTTCCTGAAAACAAACATTTTAACACAACAGACCTGGACTAAAGGGGGGATGTTACTGAGAAAGGCAGGATGATTACTGCGTTGCCAGTTTGGAAGTTCATCCTACTGACGTCGTTCTGAAAATCAACATCAGTCCAGCTGTTGTTCTGATGGGTGGGATTTCTGCTGGTGTCAAAATAACGTTTGTTAGTTCAGCAAAATAATACACCAAACAAATTTACATGAAAATGTCAAAATTCTCACAGAAACATAAAAACAAAACCCTAAATAACCATCTGTCAGCAAAAATCTTGGCTTGGGAATTATTACACTTTAAACATAGAAATAAAATGGTGGTTGTTGGTAAAATGTCAAAAATGATAAGTTTTTTTTAAATGTCAGGAAACATTCGCGGCTCTAATAGTTTTATTTAGTGAGACTGAGAGTAAAAATGGCTGAAAAACCTCAGTAAGTATTCACACCCTGCTGATATTTCCACAGCATTTTGTAATTTGTCTTCAAAAATGATCAAATAAATTATCCCACTAAGCTCAACATTTGAACGCTGTTTTTGATAACTGCACAGGATTTTATGTTGTGATTTTGTCCTTACTCTATTTTATTTGTTGTACATTTTCATGCTTTTATTTTTGTGTGAACTAACATGCCTTGATTTTTAGGTCACAAATGTGGCCTTAATGTTTATTTATTTAATGTTTGACTAATATATATATGACTGCTTAAAAAGGCAAAGTTATATATATTTAGCAATGTTATTTGTATATTCATTCTAGATTTTGTCCTACCTGCACCATTAACACTTATATATATCTTTATGTATTTATAGTCAAACTTCTAGTTTTTCAGTATTTTTCTGTGTTGATGTTTTCTTGCTAAATCCAGTGTTGTGTCTCTACAAAGACAATAAAGTAAAGTCTAATGTCACATATATTACAGACTGACTCCTGTTTGATGACGCTCTGTTTCTCCAGACGTTGTAAATGGATCCAGTTTCATCGCTCGGTTAGCAGCGATCAGGTTTTATCCTTCCAGCCTCTGTAGAAAGTCTCGTTGCTCTGAATATGAAGTGCTCTCCTCTGTTCTCAGCCAGATGCTCCCTGTTATCCTGGAGGATGCAGAAGCAGCTTTTTCTGTCTCCGGCTGATGGAAAGTGATTCAGCTTTCTTCGGAGGCTCTCCACCTCGTGTTGCTGCTTTCTCTCATGCTTTGATCTGCTGCTGTCCAGGACTTGTAGGAATCAGTGCAGGATTCTTCACTGCGACCCGCCGCCGTCTTTCCCTGCTGAGCTTCGCTGATTCCTGTCTGATGTTCACAGAAACAGAAGAATGACCTGAGTTGTGTGGAAAACTACTGAATTTTCTGAATTACTGGAAGTTAAATGTTAAAATGAGCTGATAGTGAAGAGAAAAAGTAATTCAATAAGTGGATGAATCTTTTTTTTAACATCACAACCCAAAATCTTCAAAGTGTTTCATTGTATTTCATGCTGTGAAGGAGAACGGGCGCTGAACTTTTTGTTGGTGCAAAATGTGACGCATCTTCCCATCTATTCTGATATTTCTAAACATAATCCAGAAAAAATCATTTCATTCAGAACTGAAGATAAAAAGCTGCAGCATGGAGACCAAGCAACTCAGCAGCAAAGTGTAAAAATAATGTCCTCAAGTAAAAGTAAGCTGCTTTCAAGCAATTCTACTTAAATACCAGCAAAGTTTCCAGAGTGAAATGTTACTCAGATAAAAGTTTCCCACTAAAACTTCAGTAAAGAAAACCAGGAGGAGCTCTGGTTGCAGTTCAGCGGCGTCAGCAGGCGCCGAGGAGGAAACACATTTCATTCAGTCCGATTGATTTTGTTCTTTATTTTATTCATTTATATGATTTTTACTGTTTTGCCATTGATGTTGTGAAACTGTTTCTGTGTTTGTGTTTCAATTTTCTTTTTCCTCCAACTTGCTGCAAGGAGAATTTCCCTAATTGGAAAATAATAAAGTAATATTAACACTGACACAAATAAAACGGTGAACTTCTGCGCTGTGGCGTTTAGTTTGAGGCGACCCGCCTCTGTGTTGGACTGAAACAGGACAGGTTTCTGCCCAGCTGCCTGGATCAAAACCGCTTTGGTTGTTCCCACTGGAATCACATTAAAAAAGATCCGACACGGCCCAGATCTGAGCGCTAACTCTTATTCTAAAAAGTTACTTTACCCAAAAGAAATCAGATTTTCTTCTACATTAACCTGCAGAGTGAACGAAGCCTGAAGTTGCAGGATGGACTTTGATAATCCTGTTTTAGAGAAACTGGTGGAGGTTCACCTTCCAGCAGGAAAACCAGCGAAACACAACCAGAGATACACCAGATGGTTTAAATCAAAGATTCACGGCCTAGTCAAAGTTCAGCTGATGTTCTCAGATGTCTTCCTTCCAAACTGACTGAGCGGGAAATGTTCCAGCCTGTAGACATTTAAATCCGACACATGCAGATTTACTTCCAGACTTTTAGTCTGGAAGCAAAGATTAAAGAGTAAATGTGAGCTCATTTAGATTTTTATGGTATGAAACAGCAAACAGAAAAACTCCACCGGATGCAGACCAATTGTCTGGATTTAAAAATACATGACCTTGTTTAATTTGCCGTCTCTGGTAGGAGTCCAGGAGAGGCTGCGTTCTCCAATTAGCCTGATTGCTACAGACACTGATAAATAAAGACCTTCAGCAGAAAGTTCAACAGTAAGCTGACGTGCAGCAGTTTTTCTCCGAGCTAGCTGAATAACTCACGGTGAGATCAATGGTGGAGAGGCTTCTTCCATGAGGAGAGGCTCATTCAAACTCCCCCTAAAGAGCCATTATTTACCGCTCGCTCACGCTGGGACAAATGAAGTCAGCATGGGCCCATTACTGCGTAATTAGAGGAAGAACGAGACAAATATTTAACAACACAAGCCTTTGTGCTCATTAAATCAGCCTCAGAAAGGAGATCACAATGATTTCCAACTGTATATGTGGAGATCAGCTTAGAGTCACTTATTACTGAAATAGCAATGATAACTTAATTTATGCTAGATTGTTTTTGTACAAAAGCAGGAACATTATTATAAACTGATGGATGTTGGAAGTTACATCCAAATTTTGAGTAAAAAAAAATTCCTAATTTTACAAACAGTTATCAGAGTTTTTTTTCCAATGAGCAAAGTTTAAAAGAACAAGTGTTCCCAAGTATCTTTTTAAGTAAAATGCCAATATGATAAAAATAAAAGAAACAAAGCATGAATAATAAAGGAAAATACTTTCTGTTGTGCTTAACATTTTCAATTGAAGGAATTTAACTTTTGATTAATTACAAAGATTTTAATATGTTAAAAATTGTATCTCAACCTTATTTTTTAAATTTTATTTACTAATGTTCTATATGGAACCTTTTATATTTGTAGGTTTCCAGTACAGCCATAAATCCGACGCACAAGCTACATCCGCTAACAGCAGTGATGCGACGAAGCAGCTTCTCTCAGCCCACTAGGGGTTAATTTCTGCTTCGTAAAACAATCTCATTAAAAGACTGTTGTTGTGTTCAAGTTGTGCTAAAAGCAGTTAGCCTGTCAGAGAAGCTATTCAAGCCTAAAGTAGCATCTCAATGCTAACATGTAGCAACAGCTAACGCTAATGAATAACAGATTAAAAACTATTTGTTGTTGAGCTCTTTATGTCTATATATTCAATAATATAGCAGCAGAAAATGGTTTTTGAGTTGAAAATGTTTCTTATTTTATAGATTTTAATTGAGTCTCACCACTAGAAGATATAAATTTATAACAGAGAGGGAGAGAGAAGGTCCCAGCTTTGGTCCAGATAAGGAGCACCACAGTTAGTTTTCCACTGGTGTCGAATGGCTGACTGCTGTCTGACAGTTTATTTAGTGCAGCGGTCCAGAACCAAACATGGAGGCTGAAAGGTGGCCGTACTTCCTGCGTGTGCAGCGTCTTTAATGTTCCCTGCTGCTGCCGGCAGCCGTGTACCAACAGCAGAGATCAGCGGCCCTGATTATCGTCATTATGATGATCGCTGGCTTGATCAAAGTGAAAACGCTCAACTGTGTTTTTCTGCCTTCACACTCGTTTCATTCAATTCCTGGTATCCATGGCAACATATTGTCCAATGTGGACCTAAAATCTAATCTTAGCAGACAAGTTGAGGACAAAGGCAAAAGTGTCAGGCCTAGAAAAACCTCCAGCAGATAAAGGATGTCTGGAAGTCATTTATTTAGGAAGAGGACGCTCTAATCATCTGTTTTACATTTTAATTGTCAGCTCTTGGGTTTTATGTTGTTGCTAATAAAATGTAATTTTGACTGTTAAATTGTTTGCGCCTTGTTGTTCTTTATGGATTCAGCCAGAGAAATGGACACAAATTGTGTCTTTGAGAAAGTGGAAAAGTTTTCCGAGGTTCAACTTTATGTTATTTTCTGCCAGAAGAAGCTTTCTGGATAAAAAAAAAAAAAAAAAACAGGAAGTGGACTACAGCGCAGGGCATTCTGGGTAACTACAACCAAAGCTAATGTGTTAGCCTAGCGCTAGCAGCAGACGTTAGCGCTGCTGGGCTGGTCTTTAGCCAAAGACTAAAGAGAAATCCTCCAACCGCTAAAATCTGACGCCTCCATCTCGTTTCCATCTGGTGAAACAGGAAGTTGCTCTCAGTGTCTTCAGAGGTTTTTGTGTCGTTTCCTTCAGTGGTTCTTGGTGCAGCGCCCCCACAGGCAAGGAGGGGAACAGGTTGGTTTGACTCAGAGCCACAGCAGCTGGAGCAGATGTCTACCGGACTACCAGCTGGGAAAAATGCCCTAAAAGTACTTCAGCATAAAGCCAAGATAACAACAGGTTGACTTCTGGACCCACCCAGTCAGAACCTGAACTTAAATCCAGTAAAGTTTAAAGGCACATTTCAAAACTTTGAAAAGAGGATAACTTTCCAGCTGTGGTGGATGTTCCTGTGGAGCATCAACAGTCGTGAGACTGTCACACAGCGACTGTCTTCAGTCAGAAGCCTCTGCAGATGAGCTGCGACACAATCTGCTCCCTTCCATCACCATACAAAGCGACTCTTTGAAGATAAGCTTACCTTAATTTCTTTTTGGAATAAATAAAGTATCCATTATTTAAGTAACTAAAGGAAAACTGGTGGTGTAGGAAACATTAACCTGAGTTGGTCTGACTAAAGTTAAAGTGGTGGTTTGGTGGCGACGCATCTTCCTTCTTCTAATTCAGACTCTGTGTTTCTCCCTTTTCTTACCATTTCCAGGTTTGTTTGCTCGCACCTGGGGAGGATTCCTTCCCCTCCATCCAGTTCTCAGCAGCTGATCAAGCGCCACAACATCCCCCATAATCCTTTGCTCTGCTTCCATTTGATGTCATCTTTTCCTGGGGATTAACACAGGCGCCCTGAGGGGCTGCGATAAGCGCAGCTTCTTAGAACAGCCTAGTCAATAAAAAACTGAATCAGGATCCTTAAAAGTTTCACTTACAACCCCAACACACACACACGTGCACACACACACACACACACACACACGCGCACACACACACACACGCATGCACACACACACACACGCAGACACACACACACACGCAGACACACACGCAGACACACACGCGCACACACACACACACATACACACACACACACACACACACGCGCACA